TTCTATACAAGACTAAAAATAATTCCATATTAAGGAACAACTATTCAACCTGTATCTAAATTTTTGCCATTTAACAAAGAGTAACCAAAAACTGAGCTGTAAGTTATGCTATATTAGAGTTTGATCTGTATTGCATTTTACCAACTCCTATTAAAAATAAGCTGTTGCCACCATCAAGGACTAAAGCTAAAAAAAAAAATAAAAAAAACATATCAAGTTGCATCATAGAAATATACTTGTGCTTTGTATTATACGCCACTTAACAGCAGCACGGCATGTTTAAAACAAACTTAAAGTGGACATCTTGGGATTTTGTCAATGAGTCGCCTGACAGGGAGTGTATAAATGATACTAAATGAGATGTGTTGTTGTGCTTACCCCTGAGCAGTGTGAGGAGCAGGAGGTTGTTTTGCGCCAGGCTGTGCCTCAGAGACGAATCGGCGTACACCAGCTTTCTCAAGATGCATGCACACGGCTCCAGAAGAAGATCAAAGCTCTGGGGAGCAAGACGTTATAAGCACCGGGCTCCAAACACATAATCACACTACGAAGCAGCAACACATAAATGTAGGCTGACTCTTTCGAGCTAAAACTCAATTTACTGACTGGTTCATCTCCCGTATACACCATTTTTATTTTATTTTATTTTATTTTAGCTATGTTTCTGTCGTCCTGATTTTCTCTCCTTGATGTGGACAGACTTGTTGGACGATCACCGCGAGCACTTTCTGGTTCCAGGACTGGAAATGATCAGCGGACTGAAGTAATTTCAGGCTGAGGGCAGAAATCACTGCTGAGCAGAGCCTGTCTGACACTATTAACATAGGTCACTTCATTCCCCAATCATCAACGCATCACTGGCTTTAGTAAACACACTTGCATAAAGCAGATATTTATGCAAAACATATGTACAGCAAAAACATATGTACACATTTATTGTTTTATTTAGCTTGAGTAAAATAGTTTAATCAATTATTGTCTTTCTCACTATAAGTGTCTTTTTTTTTTACCTTGTTGCCATTTACACTGTCTGTGATGAAAGAAATAACTTTCTCTGCGATGCCTAGATTCTTCAGTACGGAGTGAACTGCTGTGTCTGTGGGAGAGAAAAGAGCTCAACGTTACACCAACAAACATTTGCTTAGATTTTCTGTTTGCCTAAACAGGGTGCAGTGGGAAGGAAGAAATGCAGCTGCAGCATCTGCCAATTGTAGTTTTCACAAGAGGAAAGCGCAGTCATCAAACTTTAAAACTTTGCTTCTCAATTTATAATGAGATAAAAAATTCACACTGAACAAAGAAAAAAAAAGATCACCGGTAAGAAAATTCAGCTTGCATGAGGTAAAAAAAAAAGAGACCATGTGGGACAGCTGACAGTATTCAAGCATTTAATTCAAACAGTATTTTTTTATTTAAATGATTAACACAGAAGATTTTAGAGGCTCCTCACCTTGCAGCACCACAGAAAGTTGTTCTGCTGCTGATCTTCTGATAGACAGGTCTACAGTGTCTGAGCTCAGGATGCAAAACAGCTTCTCCACTGCCTCCACCTAGCAAAATAAATTAATTAATATATCTAGAGGTGCTATTGTTTTGTCATTTTCTGTGTGGTTTTGTACCTTTAGGATGGACTTATAGCTGGTGTCCAGTGTGACGTCTACAGGGTTTCTGAGGCAGAAGAGGTTGGGAAGGGACGTCATCAGAGATTGATCTGCGTCTGGTCTAGTGGGGTTGTCCTCAGCACTGCTGGTTAGGTGGGGCAGGATGTGTTGCACTGCAGCTATTCTGACACTGTTGATTTTAAATAGAAGGAGACTTTAGACAAATATTTAAGGTAAACACATCAATGTTTTGCAACAACACAGCTTTAACTGTAAGAATAAAAATTAAAATGACATAACAGGTTTTGTAGATTTAAAATCTAGCAGTAGAGATAAATAGACTTCACCAGTACTAGTTACCATAGTTACCATTAGTTACCTTGTCTCTGCCTTTCTAAACTTGTCCAATTTGTGTCATGTTAGGGCTGCAAGCTTCAGTTTGTTATATTGTTAATTTTATTTGATGCGCCAAAAACAACATTAAGTATTGCACTATTGTAAAGTAGTAGGAAAATAAGAATTTTTTTATGTACAAGAAAAATAGTGCCATTTTTTTTTTTTTTTTACCGAGCATATTTTCTCTGATACTTCTAATAAATTTCAAAAAAAGAAGCTGTTGCACATCCAGTTAGATCTTAAGGTAAACATCGCTGTCTAATATTTAATCATTGTTCAGAACAACATCATGTTGTTTATCAACCAATCACAGTAACACTGTGATTGGTTGATAAACAACCAATCACATTCACTTTATTTACTCGTGTAAAGTCGGGCACCACTCAGCAGAATTCAGAAATGCAACGTTTGGAACAGCCCTTTCCCTACGGCTTTAAATGATTTGATCCAGGTAAGATAAAAACTTTCACTTGAGTTTTGGAGGAGCACTGAGTCTGAGCAAACCAATCAAAAATTTTTCAGTTCCTAAATCGATGATCACTTCAATAACAAGCTAATCATGATTCCCATTAACTGTTAAGTCCTAATGGAAACTACACCAGCAAACATACAATGACACACCCATCCGTTTGAACAGATAGATATAAAAGGAGAGCATTAATTAGAGAAGCTGCCTAGAAGCCAAAGATAACCTTTGAGGAGCTGCAGACATCCACAGCTCAGGTGACAGAATCTGTCTGCAGGAATTGTAGCAACGCAGCAACACTAAGGCAGCAACCCATTTTAGAGGCTCAGCAAACATGGAGGAAGATGCTTTGTAACTGTTCTTTTTCTGACACAATAATGGCTGTGCAGTAGGGGTGGGTATTGGCAAAGAAGTCACGATTCGATTCGAATCACGATTCACATGCCACGATGCGATTCTATCATGATGCATCAATATGACGATTATTTTGCACACCCTTACTGTGCAGTATTACAAAACCTTGCAACAGCAAGAAAGCTAATAAGTGTTATAAGCTTGCAAGACAAAAACCCTTATAATGGCCCAGAAATGTGCACTCTAATCAGCCCTTTCCAAATATTAGAATATAGAAAATATTAGAAAGCTGCCACGTATTGAGCAGTCTTAGGCAGGATGAAAAGTAGGGAGGTCAAGCAAAAACATTCTCAAAGTAAGTTAATTACAACAACTTAATGTTTCCAGCTTTGCCAGATGTGTTTTGGCTTTTTTGGCAAACAACAATATTTCAGACCAAAAAAAAAAAAAAGAAAAAAAATCTAACGGAAAGAAAAACAAAAAACATACCAGACAAATAGCATATGCATCATACACATTGATTAAAAAAAAAAGAAAAACAAGACAATAAACACCTACACATGTCGGAGCACCTAACAATCAAACCGGCTCCGACAATGGGAAGACCCAGAGCTCCGACTTACGTGGGCTGTTTAGAGAAGAGGAGACGGAGCGCCGCTTTCAGCTTGCCTGTAGTCGGGAACACGTTGTCTCTTGTCACATCCGACATGTCACTTATCAGCAGGACAGCCTTTCCAAGTGACTCCTCAGTGCTGGCATAGCCCTGCCATGTAGCCGCACAAACACACACACAATTGTCAGACTGTGTTGGAAGACAAAGCAGTAAACAACAGGGAATTCCTGCTAACCAGTGAAACAGTAAATAAAATCTGCATCACTTTGATTAGGGGGGGTTTCATTTCATCTCTTGTTGACATAGAGGGCCCAACTTGTATTGGCCTGTTTGAATTAAATCACATTTGACAGCCTAGTCAAACTCTCATGTATATTCATGCAGAGTGTTCTGGCTCCCTGTTGCCTGAAACCGAGCAATTAATGAAAGTTTGTTTCTGCCACCCAAAAAAGGAAACAACATAGCATCCAATACATAAACCAGAGAAAAATAATGTTTTCCCTCACATGCAGCACAATAAGCAGCCTTTGTGAGCAGAGAATATTAATATTTCTTTACTTAAAATACATTCCTCAACACTGTACTGCCTCATCTCTCTGTTATTATAGTACCATGAGTTCCAAACAGGAGGGCTGGTTTAAGAGCCCAGCAGTGAAATTACTTTGTAATCTCCACAAAGTGAACAACACCTGTAATATGGGTATGACCGGGTAAAGTGCCTCATTGAATCTGTCCCAGGCTGGCGCTGTCATCATTAATCGTCCCTTGAGGAGGAAGAGCAGGATATCCTTGGCAGCAATATTCACCTATAGATCAGAAGTAAAGAGCTGAGTTCACAAAGCAAAGCCAAGTCAAACAGCTGCTACAGAGTAAAGGGACTTAATTAGCCACATGAATGCTGCCTGTCAGAGGTACTTATACCTACATTTACACATTTTTGTCAAGTTACAGCTACAATACTGAATAATTTGACCTTTTATACCAACACAAAATATTGTATATTAGTGAATAGGAAGGAAAGGAAACATGGATTTGAAAAAAATGTGGCAAACAATTCATAAATCTGGACTTTATAAAAGACAGAAGAGAAGAAAGTTGAAATCTTCCACAAGTATTATATATATATATACATATAATTAAAAAAAACTATGTGTGGTGGAAAACTAATGCTGTCCATGGTTTTAAACTCATCATCCTCAGTTTGAAAGATGGCGGAGGAAACGCCATCCTGCGGGATGCTCTTCAGGAACAGAGCAGTGCCGTCAGGGACAGGTCAGCACTGATGGGAAGATGAGTTTATTGGGTGGTCCTAGAAGGAAAGATGCTGCTCAAACATGCGACAGGGGTGGATGTTGACCTTCCAGAAGGGAAGCAATGCTTTGGGTAATTTTGTTCTTGAACTAAATAAATAAATAATATTGTAGCTTCACATTTGACCGAAAAGAGCAGCGTTCTGCTTCATTGGCACAGAACATCAATTTCAGGAAACTTCGAACAAATGGGTTTTTCTGCCTTTTATTGAAAGCAGTTTCTATATAAGAATCAGTCCTTCGGAAAAATGTAGTAGAACTTGTTCTGCGGTTGGAAACAAGCCAATTACAAGGATTCTCATATATTCCAGCGTTTGTTTGTTTTTTCCTTTATGTTTCCAGTTAGACTAGAGGTTAAACAAACTTTTTGAGATCCCTGATATTAGCTTTACACCACAGTTCTGATAATTACAGGGGCTGATGTGAAAACACAGAGCTTACAGTAAAACACGTCACAAAACACTAATGCTACATCCATACCACACCGGATGGAATTTGAGCAGCAGAAGCATCTGGTTTACAAGCAAAGTCTATGGTTGACGCGCATTGGAAGGTCCTGCAGCACGTCTCGAACAGCTGGAGCAGCGCATCTCATCACATCTGAGCAGCGCCTCATGAGCTTCTAAGTATCTGAGGCAAAAGATGAGCTTCACAAGCAGCAGATGCTGGATTTAACTTTTACTGCTCAATGTGTAACATCAACCAATCAGAAACGCTGATCAGGGAGCTGGCAGAGAGACAGACACAGCACTGCTGATGCAGAGCACTCTGATCACTCCCCTGAAACTTTTTGTTAACGCCTAAATTAACTTAAAATGTCGAAACCTGTGAGCAAAACATGTTTGGTTTTATTAATCTGGTGCTTACAGTTTGTACCACATTCACCAATGGGGGAAAAAAAAACCAAGAGGCAACGGGCCTGAGGCAGCTGCTGCTGGGGACTCCCAGTGACAGCGCACCACCAGTATGTGGGGGTCTGAGCAGCTCCAACAGCGTAATAATATTTGAAGGCAGGATCTTATTCTTTATGAACTGACTGCACAGACGATGTTTTGAGGTGTAACCCACTAATCATAGCAAATATAAGAAAGCCACTCCTTGCCATTGAATAGAGGAGCAGCACAAGCATCAGATGCATCTGTACGCACTTTACTGGACATGTTTCAGGTGTGTACACCTTAATGTGTACGCACATAAAAAAATGAAACAGCAGATGCTATTTTTTGCTGCTGAAATTGCATTTGGTGTGAACATAGCATAGCGTATCTGAATGCAGCTTTGCAGCAGCTTTTATTTTGTTATTCAATCCCATATGACTATGTGATTAAGGCCCTCTAGTGGCCTGCTATTCTTACGTTTTTAGATGGGCATTTGTAGCATTTTTCTCCCGTTTTCTGTATTTGCAGCATATTTCATATGCTTAATTTTTTCTCTTTTTAGCATGAGTATTTTAGAATTTGCATCATTCCTGTGTTTGCAGCACGTTTGTGAACGTTAGACAATATTTCAAGAATGAACTCAGGTTTTTAAAAATGTTTTCAACAAAGTACAGTTTTTTTAAACACAGAAATATCTTTATAAAAATGTTTATAGATCCCCCCCAAACTTAACTTTAGTTTTCTAAGTCTAAGTTTTTTACTTGAGATTTTTGTGCCAGATTGTGCTGAAATATCACATAATTTCATAAGCATGTGGTGGAAATATGAAAATATGACAAGATGCGGAAAAGCTTAAGGGGTATAAATACTTGTGCTAGGCACTGCACACACCAAACTGAATAAAAACCATAAAAGCTTTGACATATCGACATATTTAAGATACAAACACTCAGAACAAAATAGGTCCAGATACCCTTTCTGCAGAGTCTTGCAGTCCAAAAGCACTCATTTCATACAGGACCCTGCGGTGGAGAAGGAAGTTAACACCCTCGCATGCTGCTGCTTCCTGTCTCGACAGATTCTGGATGCCAAGACAGTCCTAGGGGTAAATGTAATCACATCATAAATTATCACCATCCTCTCACTTTTGCACGTAATCATGAAATACAATTCACTCTCAATTCTAGACTCTGATTGGTAAAATGAAAAGAGAGGTTGATTCAAAATGTCAAGCAGGGTTTTTATAGCATGCTGTCCAAGAGCTGTAACTCATTTGTCTCCATTTTCCTTAGTTAGATTTTAAAGAACCACACGACAGCTTCCTTTTTTAGGCAACAAAAGGCTGGTGTGCTTCAGCCGTGACCTTTAGCGCTCATTTAAACAACAGCAACCTATAAAGCATCATGTTCTAACCTTGACCAGGTTTAAAGCACACTCATATGTTTCCGTTTTGACAGGCGGTGAGGGATGCGACAGCAGCTTGAGGAAGAGTTTCTGGCTCTCGGATTGGAGGAGGGGGCTGGGCTGATCAAACTTCCACCTCATCAAGGAAAGGTAAAGGATTTTAAAGTTTATACAAAGTTGGAATGATTTAAAAATGTAGAGGTCAGTCTCTGGTCTTACAAGTGAGAGCACATGTGAACACATTCCTTGATGATGGGTAGGTGCTGATGAAAAGGAAGCCCATCTATGGTTTGGTCTGCAAGTTCCAGAAGGTCCAACCAGTTCTTCTCCCCCTGCAGAAAGAAACAAAAGGTTGATTAAAGACTTAATAAATTCCTCTATAGTTGCAAGTATTTTTTTTTCTATAAAAACGAATATTATCTTCAGCTCATACATCAGCTTGTGCTTCCTTTATGAAGTTACAAGTGGACTCCATCCAAAGCGCAGCTCTGTTCATCCTCCTGTAGAGGCTGTGGCCGTCTGAGTTCACTTGCTCCAAGTAGGCCACAGCCGTCTCCTGCATGCTGGGAAATAAACTTCCCAGTGATGAGTCCACGCTTAAGTGGAAAAGTGCCGTTGCTGTGTTTTCCGGGAGATTTTCACTGGCCTGTTAAAGTTTTAGGAAAACAATAACTTTTAGATTAGAAGTGCAACAAACTGATGATTTGGTTGCAAAAAACAGATATTTTACCAAACATAACTATGCCTTCTTCTTTCTCCTACATTTAAACAAATTACAATCCACCAACTCACAGGCATTTTATTAGAATGCTATGCAACAGGTCAGCACAAAATATTGAAAGAAATTCATGGTCAAATGAATTTAGGTCTGGACTTTGACAAGGCCACCCTACCACATGCTGGGATTCGAATAGAATCCTTTAGTTGCAGCTCAGGCTGTATGTTTTAGGTCACTTTGAAGAGGAGCCTCTTTCACAAACTTAAGCATCTAAAGATTTAACTCTGTATTTATTTTCATCCATATTCAAGAGAGTCTGGCTGCAGACCTGCACTGTCAGGACCAGAAGTTAATTCCAGAAGTTGTATTCGAAGCCTTCGGGAATAGCGCACAACACCTGTTTGCTGCCAGATTAGAGTTTATGAGAGTGTTAAACTGAGTATAGGAGCAGTTTAAATTATGCAGTAAGCAAAAATCCTCATAAGACAGCCCATTGTCGTTTAAAAAACTTCTTAAAGACCGAATGCCCTTTTCCATCCAGCGATTCAAATACAGAGACTTATTTCTATGTAGCACATATCTATTATTCGAGAAAGGAGTTTGATGGGGAGTAAAATTATGCGCGTATATAAGTTCCCAGCATAGCAACACTTGATTGTGAAGAAGGGGTGTTTATTGACTCTAGCTTTTACTTTAGAAGGGCTTAGAATCAACTTTGATTTTACTTTGAAAGTCTTTGAATAAACTTCCGGTTCTAACAGCACAGGAGACCTTGCAGTGCAGCTCTAGGTCCTGACGGTGCAGGTATGCAGCCAGACCCCTCTCTCCAGTACTAACCAGCTCCTATGTCCCCCCACCATGATGCTTTCACCACCATGTTTTCACGCAGGAACTGCACACTGACGATGCTTGATATTCATTTTTGGCCAAATATTTGCCAAAAACCTATTTTTCTTTGTCTATTCTCAAAAGAGCAACTTTGATTTCACATATTTATTTTGTCTCTCAACATGACCTGTAACAAACTTTAGTGGCAGTTATTATATCTATATTCCAAATATGGCTTCCTTATTTTCAGTCGTCCAACAAAGCCACATTTTTGGGGAGCTAATAGTGATAATAAACTGTCAACTAACTAAACTAAAATGGTTCTAAGTCTGTAGGCTCTTTTACAGTAACCATCAGCTTCTTGTCTGCTTTTTTCTGATCAGATTCAACTCTGAAGGAAGCAAGTTGCACTGAATTGTGTTATGTATCAAAATAAAAGGAAGTGGATTGAGAAATAAGCAATATTTTTAAGATTGTTTATTTTAATACAATTAATAAACCATCTTTCATTTTCTACCCACCTTAAATTAAATAATTAATTTAGTAATTAATCATTTCATGATGATCTATTATATTGTTCAATTAAACTACTTTGAAATGTGAAGTTGAGACATTATTATAAATGCTTGGCTGCTAGCAAATTATGACACACACACCTTCTCAGGAGGGAGGATGGTCTGTAGGAGTTTAATGGTGAATATGGCAGTCCCTATATAGGCCATTCTGTGGTAAACCTGGGAACTGTCAGGATCATCTGCTGAATGGTTTTGATGTAAATAGAGTATATCCCCAAGTTGCTCCATACAGGCTTGCAGCTTCTCCTTCTATAATAAGCACACAGAGAAATGTGAACCAAAACATAAACAGACAGAAAAGTACATAAAAGCACACATGGAACAAACACACACCAACGCATAGAAGCGTTCTCAATCTGAGCACATTTTCTCTGACTCAAACAGAGCTGTTGGCTGAGAGCCATGAGGAAAAAAAATGTTAATTCCAGGGGTTGAGGAATTGAATTTAATCAGATTTCAGGGTTATTTCGGGACGAGATAGAGATCCACCCTATCTCAGTATGAATAAATTGGAACAATCTATTCTCAGTCACTTTGTTCTGGATGCAGACATAGAACAATAGAGTAGATACACCAGCAGGGGGCAGTACATGTCCTGTGCATCGTTCAGTTCAGTTCAATCCCACAGGAAAACGAAGGGGTCTGGCAAACAAAAGCTGCTCGCCACATAAAGATAACAAAATAGTTCTTAGGTTGCACGACTCTGAGCATGTATTAAACAGCAGAGGGCTGCAGGGGCCCCCGGCTTGACAAGTGCATAAATCCCACTGCAGAGAACATATTCTAAAAGCTGCCAGGGAATATAATAAATAATCCTGAGCGGTTAAAAGGCGCAAACCTATTTAACACGATCTATTGTCTTAACTTAACATACATAATGAATGAAGACATGTATTAACACAGCAGTTATGATGTTTGATTAACCCAGGGCCTGCAGACAATACGTTTGAATATAGGTGTACATAGCTCTTTGCAACGGAGGTATAATTCATTCAGCTCACTCTCATGCGCACAGTTCTCCTTGACAGTTGAACACCGTATGCTTGTGTGTCTGTGACAAACTGTCTGGTGGCCAAGCCAGCTCCCCATTTCAGTGAAGTGTATCCATTCATCTACATAAGAGGCTGTCATGAGTTGTGTTGACTTGCCAGCTCCATCCCCACCAGGCTGCGATCGTCCCAGACCAGCTCGCAAACACTATCCCTGAGCAGGAGGAGAGCATCACACAACAGCTCCAGAACACGGTGGAACACATGCAAACCGTCTGAGAGGAAGAGAGAAGCAGAACAAAAGCAGAGGAAGGTGGGGCTTTTTTTTTTTTTTTTTTAGACAAGATCAAATAACACAAAATAGAATCTAGTTGATGTAGGGAAGCAGAACTGGGGATATTTACACTATTTCAAGTTTTTTCAAGCAGAGAAGAAAGAAAATGAATAAATTAAATAATAGACTCCCACCTGTCTTCAGCAGTGGTATGGCATGCTGCATGGTGGCAACAGAAAACTGGGCCAAGTTGAGCTGCTGTAACTGAAGCTCCAGTACATCTTCCATGCTCAGGTCCGGAAGCTGCAGCTGAGCCGCATCAGCAGGGGAGCGGGGCGTCTGTTCGGGGCCCTGGACTGTTGCCCCACCTCTGTGCGAGCTGCTATTGGATCAATCACAGACATAATCTTTAACATCCCTTTGGATCTCCCAGTTAGAGACCTACTAATGAACAGATCGTGCAACAGAATGTGCCTAATTGGAATGAAAACACACTCTTACAGGTATTCTGATAAAGAGCCCCAGGTGAGGTAAAGATCCCCTGGTAGAGTAGTAATAATACCAGATAACCAAAAACCTGCTCATTCAGAGTTCCCAGGATAAGAACTAAAAAGCAGAATCATGAGTTTGTTTTCTCCTCAGTCTGGAACCAGCTGCATAACGGCGGAGATGTGCAGAACATGGATCCTTTAAATCTAGACTGTTTAGCTGAACTTGCCCAGAAACACTCGGACAGGTCTTTGATTTTTTTTTTTTTTTCCCCTTATTTGTTTGAAATAAAAAAAGTTTTGTTTTTTTTTTGGTTACTTGACATTGTTTTTTAATAATATTTTTTAAAATATTCCTTTTAATCTGAGTTTGTCTAATTTTCTGTAAAGTGTTTTGAATTACCATGGTTACTCATAAAGCTATACAAACTAAGTTTCCTAACGCTGTGGGTGAAACACCCTTTAGACAAGATTTCTAGTGCAAAAGAAACATACTGAAATGCATTTCCAAAAAATAAAAACATTTACAAAAATAATTAACAAAAGCAGATATGCAAAGACAGTTTTATCATTGTTTTAAACTGCAAGCTTGCCTATAGTTGTCTATGACCATGTACACACACACACACACACACCTGTTAGAGGCTGCATCTCCATCCTGACCGTCTCCCCGGGCTCGTTGGGATGAACGCCCCACCACTGAGGGACGAGGAGAGAGCTCAGCCGCAGGAGAGGAGGCCTGTGAACGCCGGTTCCCCCGAACCTCCTGGGCGTAAGAGAACGACGAGTTCTGCGACAGCGGATCTAAAGCGGAAATTAGATATTGGTTTGCTATCAGCTTTTTATGTAAATGCTAAGCAGGGAGAAATAATAATATAAAACACATCACTAAATCAATTCAAAGATTAAACAAGATCAATATTTTTATATGAATTACACATTTGTATTTCCCACACAAAGATAAAGCAAACCATCAAGTCATACATGTGCATACAATCACTTAAAACCTAAAATATGAGATATTGACGACTCTAGAATATGTTAACCTAACAAGCTAAAGCCATTTTCTCCTTGTTATCCATTATTACTGAATGTTTGTTTAGTTTTTTTAAGCATTAAAAATATTTGCTTTTCCAGCAATAATAACAAATGCTGCTTACACCCATACTCTGTCAACAGTAACGTTAGGATTAAACGTGCTCTGGATTGAGAGCAACTCCATCAAGAATCAAGCACAGAAGCAACAGTTAGACCTTTTAGGCATGATTGAAATGTGCAGCTACCCACAATAATAACCTCAAATCCTTACTGAAGAAAATGTTTACAGTCAGTTAAGACAAAAATAATGTTATTTAGATTAATTGATTAGAAGATTTAAAAGAGATAACTTTAACCCAAATATATAGCTACGTGCTTCAAACTACAGACGTTTCAAGATAATGACTGTAATAACTTGTAGTATATTGTATACAGCAGACTTTGATCACATTTTTCACTTTACTGAAATGGCATCTCTGTACCAGGAAATCCGGCCCCTTTTAAACAAACAATTCTCCCACAAAGAAAGGTAAAAATGCCAGCCAGAAATGTGCCAGAAGTTTGCTGATGTCAACAAACACCAGCTGACGTTGGTAAAACGTGCAAAGTTCCCTTTACTCTCAACATAAAAGGGTGAATAAATTTAATTAAATTCAAAAATACTTTATTAATCCCAAAGGGAAATTAAATAAATATAATCAATTAAGCTTTTATTAATATAATTTGGACTATATAATAAATAAAAATGGCATTAATAATTCACGCTTTTAAATAAACATTGAAGATGTAGCTTCTGTTTTGTTCAACAAGGACAAATAATTCAGAGCCCAACTATAATTTAAGAGAACATGTAACCTCCTGAATAAACTCTTCTTTCACCAGTGTAAAATATAACAAAACCTCCATGTTATGAATGCGGAAGCTTTTTTTTGTTTTAATGTCTTAATTAAAGCACAAAGAGATTGGTTTATATGTAAAACCCCGTTCATAAAGCATTTTACCCTGCTTTGCTGAGTAGAAACCTGGATCCTGATGAAAGCGCAGCTTCCTCTGCAGTCCCACGCAAAGCTGCCGCAGGCAGGACAGGGCAGATGAGCGGAGGTAGCCGACCTCTCCTTTACCTGAACCCAGCCTGAGCAGCAGTAAAAGGTTCTAAAACAAAAAATTAAAAAATTTGTTGTCATCATACTTTACAGCTGGGTAACAGATAAATAAAGTCTAATCTATTAGTTCACCAATCTGATGTTTGATTCATCCATGGAGCATTATTGTACACCTTTAAAATAAATGCTAGACCCAGACAATGAGAAAGACCACGTAGGAATCAATAGGCAAAAAGGGCAACTGCAATTGAATTACTAAGGTAGTCATTTATCCATAGTTCTAATTTGCTGGGCTTTGGTTCTAATGAAGACATGTTTCTACTTTGAAGTCATTCTTTTTATTTAACTAAACTAAGAACTCAACAGGAGGGGAACTAAAGCAACATGAAGAAGAGGACTTTCCAGCTCTGATTCCTTCTAAACATGAGGCTGCCGGGTGACAGTGTGTTAATGCCGCCCTGAGGCCGCTGCAATTTTAAGCCCCACTTTATTAACCAAATTGCGATGCTGATATAGTTGCTCAATGGGGCAAAATTATGTTTTCTCAAACACTCAGACAGAGCCACTTTGATGCTTTCAAGGCTGCAATTAATTCTTCTCAGCATGTCAAAATAAACTCCTCTAATCCCGAGAGGAATAAATAGACAGGGATCTGTAAATGTAGAAACGATGAAACAATGCCAGCATCCTCTGTAGAAATGTTTGGAATAGAACTGAAGATCAGGGCCCATTCAAAGTGTGAACGACTGTTTCTTGATAAAAGTAAAGAGAGAGAAAGTCCCAGCAGCCCCGAATTTCACACCTTCTAAGAGGTACATAGTAGCCAAGCTGTATCCTCACAGCAATCTTTTACCGACTAAAATAAAAAGAGAGAGAAGCCTCAAGAGAACTACAACTCAACAAGCTTCAACTGGATCAAGGACACCGTATTCATAACTGATGTTTTCCATATGAAAGTAGTTTTGTTGTTTGTTTTTAACAGTGGAGCGACTGGACAGAAATGGTCCATCTATCATCTCTTCACCAAACTTATATCTTTTGATGAGGGCAAAGACGAGCACTATATATGTAGAAAAAGAAAACATGGTTGTTTTAAGTAGACCATTCTTTAAGGTATCTAAGAGCAATGCATGTTTTTATAGTGACATAAAATGATATACATCTGATTTTATAACACAACCAGTTCCTATTTATTTAACCACTTGTTATCTTCATCAGTTTCCCTGCTAAAGGAAGAGCGATCCCCTTCCATGCCGCTGCCACCACCATGTTTTTAATCCAGAAACATAGTTTTAAATATGAACATACCTATTTTTTGGAGACTTTAACATATTTTGATAGAATATGTATGATCTTCATTCTTTTAATTATTAGAAGTAATGAGGAGGAAAGTCGTTTTTAGAAACACAAAATGTGTTTCTTTCCTATTCTAACTATCTACTTTATATTTTTGTTGGTTTACTGCAAAGAACTGACCAAAATATAATGAAGTTTCAAGCTGCTATTTTACTGAAATGCTAAAAAGTTCAATTGTATTAATATTTTTGTCAGTTATTGTATGTTATTGTCACGGTCTTGGTTCTGTTAAGTTTTATTTTGAGTATTCAGTTTTACTTTGCTCCATGTTTTCTAGTTTTTACTGGTTTAATTCCTATTTTGTTGTGTTTTTTTTTTTATATATTTGAGTTCTTAGGTTTTTATTTGTTGCCCTCTTGTTTGGTCTCCTTTTCCCTAGCTCCTTCCTAAACTCCTCTCTTCACACCTGCTCCTAATCTGCTCATTAGTCCTCTCTTTGTTCAGTCTCCCATATATACTCTCCTTATGCAGTTCCTTAGTGCTGGTTCCTCATCTTACCTCAGCTCCTCATGATTGTTTTCCCCTGATGTCTCCATGGTTCTGCTTTGTTTTAAATTTTTCATGTTGGATTTTTGGATTCCTGCCTCAGTTGTTTGTGATCATTCAATTAAATCTTCAAGAAACCTCACCTCTGCCTCTGCATTTGGGTCTTCAAACCTCAACCAATGCCTGACAGTTATACTAACCTTAACAATTCCAGGCCTTTGCAGGAAGATTTCTGCTGGAAAGTCCTGCAGGATAACATCACAAAGGAGTTCACAGGTTGTCCGCACCATGTTAGGATCGCTGCTTCCCAAAGAACTACATCAAAGAAACAGGAGCAGATATATTTTCTGATTGCAGAAACCTTTCAAAAGTAGAAAATATATTACCCAGTAATTGGTAAAAAAAAAAAAAAGAACAGTGCAAAATTAATCTGATCTTGTTAGCAGAGCTGGGCATAAATTCAAACATTTTCTGGAACTTAAAAACTAAAGTCTGCCAAGTAGCTGATTAAACATGAGCAAGAAAGTGAAGTAAGCTGCATTGTTTCTTACCTCTCATTGGAAGAAAGTATATGTCGGTCCGTGTTTGTTAAAGTCAGCCAGGGAAAAACTGAAAATTTCAAACATCTCACAGATTCACGTACTGGGAAAGGTGGGAAAAAAAGACGAATCATTGTTATAGAAAACAATAACATAAGCTTACACAAGAAGTGACAGTACATCTGTAAGGATTACCTGCTATCTTCTGAGGTGGTGCATTTGAGTTTGACTGCATCCTGTCGTGGAAATAACCGATTTTAGGCAATTTATTGTCACCTGAAACAATAGTTGAGGCTGTGGAAGAGACAGCACATTTGTTACTTCAAATCTTGGACACAACATGTCTATTATAGAATAGAATAGAATAGAAAAATCCCTTTATTGTCCAACATTGGGGAAATTCTGGTGTTTACAGCACCAAAAAGATTATAGAAAAACAAAAACAAAAAAAATGGTCACACAAATGCGGACCTTAGAAATAAGAATAACATAATAGTGAAGAGTTAAAGAACATACAAATAAAACACTGTACTGTAAAGTGCTTTAACAATATAAATACTGTGCACTTGGGGAATAAATAACCAATATACAGCTATGGACATGAGTAGAGTAAGAAAAGAAAAAAATAATAAAGTTTCTGTTCAATGTGGTGAGATGAAAATCATTCTCAGGTAAATGAAATATTTGGTTCAACTTGTGACACCTGTTGTAGTTGTGCTGCATGATCCATGAGAGTAGACAGCTGAATGACTGGGGAGTAGCTCAGGAAGCTGGAACAGCTGGTCCAGGGTTCCATCAATGACAGCTCGCAGTCTGGGCTCGACTGTAGAAGAAAGCTGAGAGAGAAAGTCCACCGCCCCGACATCCCTCAGCATCTGGGCTGAACTCGGATGCTTTAAACACAAAACAACAACAAAAATTAGAAAAGTAGTTCAAAGGTTTCAGATAATCTATATATTTAAACAGTCGTGCTGCAACCTCTGTGTATGCATATATACAACATAGTATATAGTTTTTATTTGATCTTAACAGCAAACATCTATTTATGTTCGTACAGCAATTTTAGTCGATAACTGGAAAACTGTACAAAAAAAAAGACATTTAACGGAATTTACAATACTTTAAGGTTTAAGGCTGTCTGGATGGGGTTAGACACAATAAATGTCACTTTCAAATAAACTACAAATGTGTGCAGATATGTCTGCTGGTTCCTTTTCATTAAAAAACAAAAAAGTTAAATGTAAATTTGATCCGCACTTTTAATGGAAATTCAGTAACCAAAAAACGGGACAAACTTGACAAGTAAACCATATGCATATGGAGGCTGTTTTTTTGTTTTTTTTTAATAAAGTTAATTAAATTTCCTTTATTTAAAGGAAATAGTAAGATCTTTTATTCACCAAGTAAAATGTTGAAGGACCTGTTCTCATTTTCAAAAGGATCTAGACCTGTTTTATTTTCACAGAAATAATGATCAAGCTTATGCTGATGAACAATAAAAAAAAAATCAAAGAATAAAAAGTGATTGCTTTATTTTAGAAAATATTTGCTTTTAATTAGGGTGGCCAGACGTCCTCTTTTTCCCGGACATGTCCTTCTTTTCATACCTATAAAAATGTCTGGGGGGAATTTCAAAATCTTCCTGGATTTTGGTCGACTATAGTGCAGCACGTAGTTGAGAAACACTGGGCACTGGAACAGAGCCATCAGCTCCGTGGCTGGAACCCCGGCGGACAGGGGCAGGGAGCCAGCAGAGGTAACAGGTTGGGTGCAGCTATCTGTGTTCAGAGCGTTTTGAGTCTGTATTTTTTTTCCTCTCTCCCGCTGCTCTCGTGTCCCGTATCTCGGTGTTATATCATAGGATCGTTCGCTTTGAGACATCTGATTTGCGTTTGCATTTCACTGGTTAAACAGTGTTTATATGGTTAGAGGAGAGACGCACAGCAGCACTCAGTGAATATTAACCTGCAGCTACTTCAATGTTTAAGTAAAAGTTAGGAGACGGGTTGGTTAAAATAATTAGAGATGCCACCAAAAAAATTGGCAACAGATTGTAAGTTTAAACAAGTTAGTATTATAATGCAAGAAGCTTGAAAAAACAGTTTGCTATTCTTTACTAGTTAAAAAGATCTGGGCTTCTCAGAGAACCATGACTCCCAGTTACAGGTTAAAATGTACACGTTTTCTTATTGAACAGACAAAATCAGACTGCAGAGCTTCTACATATCTCGACACTTTTTTTCTGGCATCATTATATTAGTAAAGAGGTTCATAAATCTTTTTAAACAGAACAAAGAGAGAAGTAGGTAGAGCTGCAGATTTAAAGGTGAAACAGTTTTACTGGGATATGCAACATGCAATAAAATATATCCCCCAAGTTTACCAGAAAGTTTACAAGAAAAAAATATGCTATGCTATATTTAAAATGCAGCATATCCAATTTTTTCTGGACGGAATTGAAATTGCACCACTAGGGATGCATGATATATCAAGTTTGGCATTGGAATTGGCTCTACTAATTATATTTTTCATGCATTGATGTTTTGGGGCACTATATTTGTAATGCACTTAAAGGCATCTCTCTAACATCTACAAATATAATATATGTTATATTGTAGATGTAAGCCTAATTCTATAAACAATTAGACAGAATTAACAAAAGTAGGCTGCAGGTTTCTCAGTCTGAACTATATATTAAAATATAACTGAGACACAAATGAAATAATAATAAATGAGTCTACCTGCATGTGGTTCCAAAATCACACATTTTAAAGCCTAGCAGTAATTATCCTTTAAGTCTCACTCACATGGTGATTTCGAAATGAGTAAAATACTGTATGTGTACCTTTGATAAAGTTAAAAGCAACCCAAGAACGTCCTCCTTCATTGGCACCTCCGGGAAATTGAACCATTCAAGCAGATAAACAAACAGCATCTTTTCCTGAACAATGTCAGTCACCGTGATGAGGGAATGCTTCAGTTTACTTAAAATGCTCTTCAACGCTCGAACTCTTATTTCCACTAAAGAGTGGCCTGAAATTAAAAGAAACGAAATCACACAATATCAAAACAGACATTTATAAACTAGTTTCGACACAGTTCAACATAGTTATATCCGTATAACGGGCGAAAAGTTACTTTGCGTTAGCTGAAATGCTAACGGTTTCATTGCTATGATTGTCTTATTAGCGTAAAGTTGAGCAAAACTCAGCTAGCGGTTCGGCCTACCCATTTTCTTTATAAGCGGGGATAACATTTCCATGTTTAACTTGATGACTTGTCAAGGCTCTCTGCTTAGAACCCTTGTAAAATAAGCTGTTCGCCAGTTTGACTGTATGGTCTCTGCTTTTCTATGAGCGACATGTCAACAACTGCCCCGGGTTTGTGTTCAACAACCGCGCCAGCGTCACCGCGCTTCCGGTACGAGTCAGAACCAAGGTGCGTTCAGGAGCACTAAATGTGTAGGAAAATGTATTATTTGTAGAATTTCAATGTGACAAATAAACGTTGCGCTTAGTGTACGTATCAGTAATTTTAGTAGCAAGTGCAATATTAAAGAAATAGTATAAATCTACAGTGACAAAATATAGATCTTACTCCTAACTAAGGTGAAGTAGGTATGATGTTAAGATTTCACACCTTAAGAGAACGCCTCTTCTTCAGGAGCCGCTGAAACTTCAAATTTTGTTTTATTGCCTTCATTCAATGCTTTGTAAATCTTTAAATAAGTAAATGCCATTTAACAGAATTGTACATTCATAAAACAAATAAGTAGGCTAATATATTTATTAATAACACTGTTAATATTCGAGTCATTCAATAATTAGAAAGCATACAAAGAAATGTCCATTTATACAATATAACTATCACGTTTATGCAATATAATTATCACGTTTATACAATTTAATAAGCAAAAAAATTTTTTTCTCAAGTGACAGCAATACACCATTGAAATGTCCCTTTTTGTTTAAAAAAATATGGGTATATTAATAATTTATAAAAATGTCCCTTTTTGTATAAAAAAAAAAGGATGGGTATATTATTAAAATATTGATAAATAGTACTTTAATAAAACCAACTTAAGATATTAATAGAGATTCCGAAAGTAAAAAAGCGAAAATTTCAAAAAAAGAAAGAAAAAACAACAACAATCCACAGGACTTTGTTTCCAAGTTTGAAGATGTTTTGCTTCCAATCCTAGAAGCTTTTTCAATTCAAAATGTCAGGAATAGCATTGAGTTCTGGGTTTTATACAATAGCCCAAAAAAGCCTTGTTTGTGTTTTGAAAACATGCAATTTGAAACGGATGAAGGGGTCCACCCCTTAGGAATGGGGGGTCGTTTGGCTTCTTTTGTTAGCCTGCAATGCCCCATACCTGACCCCCATTCCAATGCCACCATTTGGGCTACTATATAAAACCTCGACCTCAACGCAATTCCTGACATATTGAATTGAAAAAGCTTCCTGGCTGGGAAGCGAAAAGTCTTCAAACTTGGAAGCAAAGTCCGGTTGATTGTTTTAAATTTTCTATTTTTTGGAATGACTTTGACCTGGATGACTGAGAATCTTCACCAGCAATGTGAAAATAATAATAATAAAAAAAATTAAAAATGTATTAGTATTCATTCAGTTATTTTTATTCAAGTCATGTTTTGAAGAATCTTATATTTTTCTTTTATTTGTCATATAAACATAGAAGTACTTGAGCAGGACTAATACTAAGTTGGTCAGTAGAAGTGTTGTACAGGATAAGCAGTCACATAGGGTTTATCTAGTGAGCAATTCAGACAGTATGTTTAAGCCACTTTTTTTCCAGCAAACCCATCACAAGTAATTATCAAAAGTGTTTCATTCAATGTACATGTGTTTGTTTTTTTAAGTGGCTAAAACTAAATTACCGTACTCTCATTCACTGTATAAAACAAATCCAGTTGCATGATATCTCACACTTGAAATGTGACACTGATAAATTCAGCCAGCAGGGTGATAATTAATTTGCCTAGCAAAAGATTTGATGTCATTATAATGTAACCACACTTTGAAAGAATTCCAGTGGGATTAAGGCCCTATAATTAATTTCAGCCTAGGAGTGAATGTTCTACAAATACATTAAAGCAGCAATGCTTTGAGTGGGTGAAAAGAACAGGAACATTTCCACTAATTCCAGCATATGTTTGTGCATTTTGCCAAAATCTCATTAGCTATTTCTAACTTACATCCATTATACTATATTCAGTTGTAATCTTAATGATCAAAATCACTTTTTTTCAGCGGCTGGACCGAATGGATTAAGGAGAAACCTTTTCACACAGAAAACCCATTTAAATTCTACTAATGTTTTTTCTTTTATAAATCTTTGCCTCCTTGCCATCATTTAGAATTAAGTGTCTGCAATGGAAACTTGCCAGCTCTGGTGATCAACTTGCCACATGCCTTAATAAGTTGCAGTCACAGATTTTACAGCATTTCTCTCTTCGCTGAAAGAAAAAGCATAGGACACATTTTTGTTCTATATGTGTTTTTTTCACTTCACAGATATAGAATATAATGAAACATGTTCTAGAGAAATTTGTCAGAAGATCATTGCTTTTTTACAACCACATCTAGATAGTGGAAGCAAAACCATGTTAACAACATAAGATTGATGAAATCTTATTAATTAAGGACTTGCAATGAGGATTTGTATTTATTTTTCTTCTAATTATAAGTTGAGGAACATTTGTTGCTTTAGCTTTCAATCCATAATTTCCCAGCTATATTGTTTCAGAGAACTATTTAAAATCAAGCATGAGTTAATCTTTGTCTATGAGTTTTTACAGTTTATTAATGAACGTTTGACTTCAGGTACTATATATAGTA